CAAATATGGCATTTAAATTGTCATCATAGTATGATATTGAGATGTTACTTCGTGAGGTGAATATTCCGTCATTCTCAAGGATGCGAAATGAGCAAATCCAGTTATAGTTGTTGTTTACTGTGAACTTCCCAAACGTTAGTGTAATCAGTAGAACATTAATCATCCTTGTTTACTCGTAACTTAAACAAATCTTCACTGTAAACATTAATATGGGAAACTTCGTGTGTTAACATACCATACAAATTTAAAAAGTAATTGCTCTTCTTGTATCAACGGTTAGAAATATCGACTAAAACTAACTTTATTTACCTTTTAGTGGTTTACTTTTTTTTTCTTCTACTATTTTGTAAAACTGCGTGTTCTGTTTTTAGGTTTCATTGAAAACCGGTGCTTAGATGTACACCGAGCCTGCCGAATGAATTCTTTTTATTTTTTTTTAATAAACTGATTTCTTTCTTTCTACTTTTATACAAGCTTTTGCCCGCGACTCCTATATCTTCCTACAGCCCATATGTTCTTCCAGAGTATCCTCTACATCTATGCCAAATTTCAACGAAATTCCTTTAGCCATTTAGACTACAAACTCTAATAAGCATCCATCTAAACTTTCGCATTTATAATATCAGTAAGATTTGAGATTTTTACTGACATACCTCATACTTCTAGTCTTTATCTCACATCATTAATTGCGATACAAAAACGGTAAATTATTGTCAAATTTAGATTCCACTACTATTAGACAACTTATTTAATTGATATTGTCGCTTTTAACTCAGAGCAATACTTCTCGTCAAGACTTAGGATGCGCGCCAATCTATCCACACTTCTAGTGACATTGACAGCTGTCAGCTAGGGACGTGACGTTTATGCCGATAACCAAGAGTTGCGCCAATTCTATAGCACGGTACTAATTTTATTCCTAACACTACTTAATAGTTTTATTTTTTAAAACAATTTTTAGCATTTAACGCAAAACTTCAATAACGTTCACAATATATATTTATTGTGGTTCTTACCAACGGTAACGGGTTGTTACCAATCTTACCTTATCTCTGAAAACTGACTTGTTCATATGTCTTATGTGTGTGTAAAGAGCAATCTTAATATTTGGTGAAAGCAGTAGGTACGGATAATGAAAACCTTTAATCAAATCCTAACCAAATACATGAAACACTTCAAATGTAATTGAACAAGTCACACCTTTACAATATTTGAATTGTCTTATTAAAGCTAGGTTGAAGTATCCATTAATTTTATCATCACCTATTGATTAATTAGTTTTATGTTGAACTATACTCCATATGAGTAAAACTCTAGTTACGTAGTTCGGAAACGCTTTTCGTGAAGTCATGGAACAAAATCACAAACGAATGATTAAAAGTAGGTGAGAAACCGGACATTAATGAAGCTGCAGGATTATTGTTAATTAAAATTAGATTTGTAGATCGGTGAATCGATCTTCAGAGATAAGTTGGTTTCGATTTATTGAAGTTCGTGGTACACTGAACTCAGTTTAGCAAGTGTTTTATAAGAGCGGGCTTTGCCTAAACTATTGCACAACTGTTGTGCGATTGTCTTTTGTAGCTCATTCAACTGTTTAGTTGCACAACTAAAAATCGAGTAATGTGCGCATCATATAAGGTCATAGGAAACAAACCAAGACTAAACAGTTGTGCGATAGTATAGTTTCAGAGTTTAACAGTGGTAGAGCCCGCTTTAACATCTTCGCACTGCAGGGCCGGCTCGCCCGGTGTAATACCACGACCACACAGAAAACAGGCGTGAAGTGGAAGTTAATTCCGCGTTTCGTCTGATGAGTGTGGTGCCGGAGGCCTAATTTTAGTCCCTTTTCCTGTCCACTCTTTTCTTAAGAGGAAAGGATGGAAAGGAAAAGTGGATTTCACGGTAGAGGAGATGCATATGAAGGGGAAATGTTCTCTTATCTGCGTCTCCTCCTCCGTCAATGAAGGGTAGGCATCGCATCTGCAATTGCGGATGTTTATGGGCAGCGGTCGCTTTCCACTTCGGTGGATACAGGTGGCCGCTTGCTCGTTTGCAACCTTATATTATAAAAAAAAAGATGTGCGCACAGTCTAACTTTTTGTTATTAAAAAAAATTACTTGTCGTTGGTTTAAGACTCTTAAAGTACATTTTGCTTTGTTTCTTCAATAAACCGGAAATCTCTGTGTGTGTTTCAAAAACCAAGTTTTATACAGTTGAGTTGATATCAGCTGCAGTAGAAACGAATTCCGAAGCAGAAAATTGTAAGAAATGCATCGCCCCGCGCCATTGAAGCGGAAGATTGCGTGAGAAACGTCCGAGTCGCTGCAGTTGAAGTTTTATAAAACTTCTAGTTTGGACTTATTCATGTAATTTGAAAATGTGATTGGATTTTTTTCCTTTCAATCTCTCATTCTTATCAACTTTTGCTATTTAAATTATTTTCTACGTTAAGTTTTTTTTTATTGTATTGCTTAAATATCAGTAATTAATTAAAAAAAGTCACAAGTCGTTTGGGTTCGGCATAGTTGGGGATTTTTTTATGTTACTAATAACAATGTAGTTACGAACAAGAGCTGGGAATGTAAACAAGGAGACGATATAGCTTGGCGACATGCCAACATACGCCTACTGAGGTACACTCAACGTCAGAAGTATAGATGCAAACCCTTAAATATGATAAAATTTATCAAGTTATACCAAATACATTCAACGTGTAAACAGTACATAACTTTAGCATGGACTAAACGGTAATATAGCACTTGTAACCAGTAGGTAAGAGTTTCAGTTTTAAAATACGGCTTGTGAAATTAATTTTATATGTGCAATTATGATTGTGTGAATGTCGGGATATATTTCGACGGTCTTCTTTTATTTACACGATCTTCGGTTTGTTGTAAAAAGGTTTAACACAAAATTAAGTTGCATAACTTAAAACCACTAATTTCAGATTTGTTACAAAAAATGCTGTTACATTTATATTTAGGTGTTAATATTTGTGACGTTGAGTGTACCTTCGATCAATGAAAGAAAACGTGACGACGCGTACACAGCGTCTGTGTTTAGAGTTATCTCATAAAATCTATTCGTGCGATAATCCCTTTCTTTTTAGAAGTCAAGAAACATAGATTTGGAAAACACAAGAAAGGAATAAAAGTAAAAACTATTTAATTATATATTCTTTTAAATTATATCTCTTCTAGATACGAAATAAAGATAGATTCTTCCAGATAAAAGTTCTTGTACTACTTTAACTCTAATAAGCTTTATAAATACCTATTCATAATTTGATATATTGTTAGAGGGCTTGTCACAAACAATCGGGGAAATGTTTTCGTTATATCATCGCCAAAATTTGTTTTACACAAAGTACAACAACAAATGTAACACAAATTTTGTCGATGACATTACGAATTCGTCAATTTATCGCAAATATTGGTGATAGTCCCTCCGTTCTCCTACCACAAGGCCAAAACAATTAATCGTAATTACGAATATCGATTCGTAGTATCAAAATTGAAAGTACGTTGATGACATAGGTACATATAGATAGAATAAGTTAATTTGCTCGAACTGGTGGAGTTAACTCAATTAGCAATAATGTCGGCGCAGACGTGATCTGCACTCAGACCACGATAAAGTAAATCCCAGCGACGCCAGTTAATGATCCAACTTTACGACATCAGAACGACCACTTTATTTTTATTTAGTTTAAAAACTATTTTCTACCATTTAGTTCTAGTTTAATATACATTACAATTAGGTGCAGATTATTAGCAATTGATGAACTACCGTTTTCTTACATTTTTCCTGGCCTCGTAGGATTCTTCCTTCAATAAATGATGACTACATATCCTTTCGATATAATAAATGTGACGTCATAATGTGGCGTGGGTTCATGGTCATCTTCTATACATATAATAAATTCAGATTTCGGGAAGAGAAAGAGAAAAAATCGAGTCTGTCTGTCCGCAAGCCGCGTTTCATCCTGGTAATCTTCGAAACGGCATACTATAGCATTTTTTAAAATTCCGTCCCAAAATGGCGTAACGGGTGATCCAAATTTGAGCTAACGAAGTTTGCGTTTGATTCTCGTTCTTGTTAAAACGCAGGGACTTTTTGTAAAAGTATTTGCAAATTAAATGACCTTTTAATTCCACCCTTTTGACATGACAAAAACTACGTTCATAGATGCAAACTAAATAGTAATTTAAGACCCTAGAGGAGTCAGGTGCAAACAGCTTTTATTACTGTTTCCTAGTAGTTGTTTCGAAACAACCAGACTTTAGAACTCGAGCAGCGATTGTAGTTTTCAAACAACATTTAAACTGAAATATTTTGTAACTCCAAGTTCTTTGAAGTGAAAATAAAAATATTTTATCGAAAGAAATACTTAGAAATATAACTGTTTAATTCCATTGTTAAAAAATGTATTTATTCTTTTGTTAAAGTAATGAAGTATATTGCGTTTTGTTGTTTTTTCTGTTAATATATAACTGTTAACTGTTTTTTAACTAAAAAGAAATCTTGTATAAAATATACTCTACGCGAATTTACCATTAAAAACATAATAAACAAAATATTGTTTGGCTTTCGAGACTGATACTTACTATGCTTTTGCCGATTAAGCTAGTCTTCCCAAATATTCTACAAACTTCTGCTTAAAACACTACTATGCACCGACAACAACCGTAACATCGACTTTTGAAACTTTAAGCTTGTTTTAAAACTACAACTAGGTTTAAGAGGATTTCTTGCTGTGCAGCAAGAGATTTGTAACGAAACACAGTGGAAGAAGATTTAAACAATAGAACAAATATACTATGTACTTACAGTGTGTATACACAATATACTATGTATTTACAGTGGTAGAGCCCGCATCCAGCATTTGTTGGAGCACGAATGGCCCGCTCGCCCGGTGTAATACCACGACCACACGAAGACAGGCGTGAAGTGGAAGCGATTCCGCGTTTCGTCCTGATG